TCGTACCCAGTGGTAATTTCATCTAAGCTCACAGACTTGCAAGAGTCTAAATTAATTGAAGTTCTTAAAAACCACAAAAGCACCATTGGGTGGACCATCGCTGACTTGAAAGGTATCAGCCCATTGATCTGCAATCATGCCATATACCTGGAAGAGGATTCCAAACCCTCTCGTCAAATGCAGCGACGACTGAGCCCTCACATGAAGGAAGTTGTGAAAATGGAAGGGCTTAAACTCTTAGATGCAGGGATAATCTTTCCTATCTCCGATAGTAAATGGGTTAGTTCAACCCAAGTTGTGTCCAAAAATTCTGAGGTCACAAATGAAGCTAATGAACTAGTACCAACTAGAATGGTCACAGAATGGCAGATGTGTATTGATTATCGAAAGCTCAATTTGGTGACTAGAAAAGACCATTTCCCTCTTCTCTTTCTGTACTAGGTTCTAGAGAGAATTGTAGGTCATGAATTTTACTGTTTCTTGGATGGCTATTTCGGGTACATTCAAATTGAGATAACACTCAATGATCAGGAGAAAATCACATTCACATACCCCTTTTGCACTTTTGCATTCAAAAGGATGCCTTTCGGACTTTGTAATGCTCCTGCAACATTTCAAAGATGCATGTTGAGTCTGTTCAGTGATACGATCAAAAAAAAATTTGGAACTATCAACGGCTGGTAAACAAAATGTTTCACTCTCAGATCAGGCAAAATAGAGGTGTATATGGATAACATGTTGGTAAAAAGTCTCACCACAGTAGACTACATTGAACGCCTCCAAACTTTCAACGTTCTCAGGTCATACCGCATAAAGCTGAATCCTAAGAAGTGAGCTTTTGGCGTAGGGTTAGAAAGTTCTTGGGCTTCATGGTCAACTAGTGGGGAATTGAGGTAAACCATGACAAGATCAATGTCATCCTCAATATGAAGTTACCCTCCTTGACCAAGGACCTCCAACGCCTCAACGGCAGACTTGCAGCACTTAACAGGTTCGTTTCTAAGTCTGTAGACAAATGTCTACCTTTTTTCAAGATTCTCCGAAAAGCCTTCGAATGGGGACCTAAGGCGGAGGAAGCATTTCAAAAACTCAAAGCCTACTTGGCTACGCCTCCCATCCACTTACATGTTGCATCAGGTGAAACTTTGTATCTATACCTTTATGCTTCCCCTTCGACAATAAGCTCTGTCATCGTCAGAAACAAAGATGGAGTACAAAAGCCTATCTATTATGTGAGTAGAGCATACCATGGAGCAAAAATCAGATATTCAAGGCTTGAAAAACTAGCGCTCGCCTTGATCTCAATAGCAAGGCATCTATGACATTATTTCCAGAGTCACAACATTGTTATCGTCACAGACCAACCTCTGAAGACGGTGTTGAAAAAGCCAGATATGTCCAAAAGGCTCCTTAAGTGGGCAGTGGAACTAGACGAGTTTGATATCTAGTACCAGCCGAGGGCGGCCATCAAAGCACTAGCCTTAGCAGATTTTATTATTGAGTTTACACCAGCAGAGGAGAAGACCAATGAGCCTTCCACACTTTAGACGTCGAGCCCAAACACGCAAAGCAATCAGACGGCCAACGAGGACACTCAGACGTCTGGCGAGGACACCCAGACGCCTGGCGAAGACATCCAGACTCGCAGGCCAGACTACCAGGTGCCTAGGCCAGGCACCCCAGCCTGGCACCCAGGCACCCCCTGGTGCCCAGGCATCTTGGCTTGGTGCCTAGGTACACCAGCCTGACGCCTAGACTCCCATAATGAATTTCAAACTCTCCCCTCTACCACTCTAGAAGCTCTATGTGGACAACTCCTCAACCAGTGAAGGAGGTGGAGCATGCCTAATCTTGATCAACCGCAACGACACTCCCATCAAGTATGTTGTAAAGCTCCACTTCATCGCCTCTAATAACGAGGCAGAATATGAAGCCCTCCTCTGACCTAAGGTTGGCAATAAAAATGGAAACCCAACACCTCATCTCTTATAGTGACTCTCAGTTGATAGTCAATCAAGTGAATGGCGAGTTCGAAGCAAAAGGAACGAGAATGCAGGAGTACCTTGCCATGGTAAAGGCCTTGATCATGAAATTCCAATGCTTCCAAATCTGTCACATCCCGAGGGAGGACAACATGGCCGCAGATACACTCACCAGGCTTCCTTCATCCTTAGAAACCTCACCAAGACCAGCATTTGTTGGACACCAATACGAATCAAGCAGGCTAGAAGTGGAAGCCGCAAACGTCAACTATGTTTTTGCCAAATCAAACTGGATGACCCCGATCAGGGCATACCTCTAGGAGGGTGTGTTGCCAAATGACCCCTAGAAGCCAGAAAACTCAGAATGAGAGCCTCTAAGTTTACCATCTTACAAGACACCTTGTATAAAAGAGGCTGTTCTTTGTCATTACTGCGGTGCCTTTCACCCGAAGAAGCTCACTCTGCCCTGTGGGGGATCCACGAAGGGGTTTATGGGAATCACTCTGGAGGACGCTTTCTCATCCACAAGGCACTTAGACAAGGTTACTTCTAGCCTAGCATGGGAAGGGATGCCTAGGAGTTCACTAAGAAGTGCGACAAGTGTCAGCGCTTTGCTNCAGCCCTAACACCTACTGAAGGAGAACTACTGACTACTCCATCTTTGAGCATGAGAGCTCCAAAGTCCTTTACAGGATGATTCCTTATAGCCTATAACTTCCACTCCTGGTCCCTCGAGAGCACAGTAGAACCTGCAAGGAATATGATGAGTACACAACCTACAAAGAATGTGGTTAGAGAAGGGTAAGTATATAAGGCGTACCAACTTTCTTTGGAGCAACCCATCCTATTGGTACCAATGCCCCATCACCATCTGAAGCCCACTCTCCATCGACGAACATGAAATGAGACTTCCAACTTTTACAATTGAAGAGTAGTACAATAATTAGTTTGCCTCCCCTAGTAGTAAAATAATACTAGCCTTGGTTAGGAGTAGGAGTCTCACTTGGGTAATAAGCTGCGTGAAACTCACCAAGAGAGGCATCCTCATGGTGCACCTTCCTCCATAATACCAAAAAACCCAACAAAACTCTCCAACTATTTGGCACCAATCGCCCTCGTGTCAGAGAAAAGTAATGTAGGATACGACAAACGGAGGAAGGCATCAGGAACCTGAGCCCAGCCACAAACATCTCCTCATAGATAGCAATGTCTCCAGACGAGTCATCACAAGCAGGCTCACCAATCTTGGCTCGACGACATTGTACCGTAGGACGAATGTGGTAAGCAGAGGCTACCTGCAAAATATCATCGTTTGTATTTAAAGTGCTAGAGATAGTACTCACTTTGAATCCATCATCGTCAAGAGCTACCTTGGCTCGATGCTTTTTGTNCATCTCGACTCGACGACATTGTACCGTAGGACGAATGTGGTAAGCAGAGGCTACCTGTAAAATATTATCGTTTGTATTTAAAGTGCTAGAGATAGTACTCACTTTGAATCCATCATCGTCAAGAGCTACCTTGGCTCGATGCTTTTTGTTGCGAGAGCATGAAGAGTTATCTGAGCCATTTCCAAAGAGGCCCTGAGGAATCTAATTTTGAAAAGTTCCACTTGAAGGAGCCAGATTACCTGCCACCTGGGATTCTCACCCGTCACTGGTCTACACCGCCTCCTCTGCATGCCCAAAGCTAGTGGTGCCCTCCCTCACGCGAATAGATTGCTCATTTCGCCCAGTAGCCAAATCAACGCGCCCACTTGTGCCCACGAAACCAGCGCGCCCATTTGGATGCTCAGCCTCATCTCCACGCGTAGCATGCACCTCCTCCCTCTCCTTCTCGCTCTCTTGAACCAGCCCAGCTCTGACACCAACTCGCCTCGCCACCTGGGCTACTCACCCATCTCCACGCCAGGCTGCCTAATCCACTCGCACACGGGTTGCTCACCCCTCTGCTCGCCCAGGCTACCTAGATCAGCGCCCAAACCAGCCTGCTCGCCCATGACCTCCAAACTAGTGTTCGCGTCCCTAACACGCCAACCAGCAACAACCACAATGCCTGACTGCTCTGCATGTCCACGAGCTGTTGTGCGCCTCAGCTGCCCACATCCACAGCGTGCCCCAACGAGGCTCGCTGGTTCTGCTCACCCATCAGTGAGACAGAAGGCCCTACATATAGCATTAGCGCCCAATGGTGCCTCTTCCATTACCCAAGACCTTACATCTCCAACGAAAACAGTGGCCTCGCCCACTATTGGTGCCCCCACCTCGGACAGCCCCATGGGCGTACGAGCAATGACGGCGGCGGACGCCCCTGGCACCTAGTTCCTCCTCCTCCTCTTCTCCAGGGACCACACAAATTTCTCTGGGCTCTCCACCGAGATTCACAAACTCATTTCCCTCAATCAACATTACTCTAGATGTTGGATTCAAGAATCTCACCTCTTTGTTCTTGGAGGATTTCAATAAGAGCTCTCATTCTCACTCAAGATTGTATGGAATGGGTAAAATGAATGAGGAGTTTTCTATTTATAACCTGGGATTTTTTAAATTCTATTAAGGAAAGCAAAGAGCCCCTATTTATATCCTAGGGCTCTTTAAGAATCCAAAAAGGGAAGTGAATGAGAGAGTTTATATAGCTTATGATGTCCCATAGGCAAAAGGAGTCTACAAGAAGGGAACGAGTCACCAATCAAAAGGAGTCTTCAAGAAATTCGAGTTCAATAAGGCTTGATCACTATTTTGACTATAACTTTTAATCCGTAGCTCCAAATGGGGCCCATAATATATCAAATCGAAGCTCTCGGTGAGCCCTACAAAACTTATTGCCTTTTGAAAAATGCTGTTAAAAGTAAAAAAAAGGCCTAGAAGCATATTTTTGAGCCTCCTGAAGTTTTTCTAGTGATGCGTTCAGTCAAAATTCAAACTCAACCGAATGCCTTCCTCTTCAAGTTCCATTGGACACAAGGCATTGGGGGAAAAATGATGGACCAAGCCCAAGGGCCCAACTCATGATGTAAGCCCAGTTTAGATTAAGAGCCCAACTCCAAAGAGATCCAACAAAGTCCAGCCCAAAGTGGTCTACGCCCAGTTGAGCTCATCAAGTTCAAAGAGCTACGTCAGTAGGGGAGCATGAAAGGTCATCTAAGAACCTTCACTCCGTCTTGAAAAGAGTCAACACTCATCTCATCCTTTGATCGAATCACATTGGGAGCACCATAACTTCCTTGTCCGTTGAGAAGAGATCACCACTTCCACTAGAATAGCCACTTGGTTACTAACAACTCGGCCNGCCGTCTTGAAAAGAGTCAACACCCACCTCATCCTTTGATCGAATCACATTGGGAGCACCATAACTTCCTTGTCCATTGAGAAGAGATCACCACTTCCACTAGAATAGCCACTTGGTTACTAACAACTCGGCCCAATCTGTTATGGGGTGACTATAAATTATAAGCCCCACCAACACTTGGGGGACATCACACTCAATCGAGTGCAACTATCCTCTCCCTCTCATATCTTGTAACTCTCTGTTCTCCCTACACTCTGGAAGTAATAAAATACCCGACAACCCTAGCCATTCAAATGGACGTAGGTCACATTGACTGAATCACTATAAATCCTTATCTTCTCCATCTTTTACTTATTTACTACATTTATTACTAATTACTTGACAGGTGGTGCGCAAACCCAATTTGTGCATCATCAGTTTGGCGTCGTCTGTGGAAAAGACAAAATTCTCACTCCTNTTCCCTCTCATATCTTGTAACTCTTTGTTCTCCCTACACTCTGGAAGTAATAAAATACTCAACGACCCTAGCCATTCAAATGGACATAGGTCACATTGACTGAACCACTATAAATCCTTATCTTCTCCATCTTTTACTTATTTACTACATTTATTACTAATTACTTGACAGGTGGTGTGCAAACTCAATTTGTGCATCATCAGTTTGGCGTCGTCTGTGGAAAAGACAAAATTCTCACTCCTAAACACTTTCTCTATTGAACCTATGATGATTACCACCAGATCGATGAATCAGCCTGAGAATAATCCACCACGAGAGGAGGGGATTGCTCTTCCACCAACCAATCTTGTCCTAAATGCGCAACAGATGCTAGAGACCATGCAGTAGCTTGTGGCCCAAAACTAGTAGATCTTGCAACTTATGCTCGCCGGACAAGGAGGAGCACAACCTCTTGGACCTTAAGTCAGAAGAGCAAAATTCTAGCTTGAATTGGTATTTAGAAATTGCTATCTTATAATTTCTTGGAAAATTATGCTATGTGGGCATATTAGGTATTTATATTATGCCTTGGAGAATTAAGTGTGTTATTTGCATGAGATTATGTGATAACATGCTTGAAAATCGTTGTTGGGTAAAATGTTGATATATGTTTGGTGATGTATTGACATTAAGATGATTTGTGGTAATTATATGCTTATGATATAATTGTCCATGGTATATGTCAAAATGTGGAGGATATGGTTCATATGTCACTCATAACATATTGAACATGATTATAGTGTTATAATTGTACACTACATTACATATGTACAGAGACATTACATTCATGGGCATTAGGTATGAGTGTGGGTGTATGTGCATGGTTGTCATCAAAATGCCACTCTTGGTGAATGATGTGTGGGCTCGGGAAAGTTGGGCCAAGCCCCAACTGATTCGACAAATTGGATCGAGGTTAGCAAAAAGTGCTAGATTATCCCTTGGGTGAAAGACACAGTTATTTCGGATACTCACTCCATTGGTATTGAGTCCATAAAGTGTGTTAGTGTACGTAGAGCCGTTGGTGGAAGTCCATAGATGTCGTGTTGGTTGGGTGACCGTTGCTAGAAGTCCATAAATATCCACCCCAAGAAAGACCCAGAGATTTTAATTGGTCATTGGATGTGAAACATCAATGGTGGAGGCTTGGAATGTCTGGATTCATATGCTTGGTGTTGCATATGCTAAGGGAGCCAGTAAAGGCTCGGTTGAATTGCATGTGTGAATATCATCTCATATCATAGCATGACATATAAGATTCCATTGTTGAATTATNCGTTGTATATGCTAAGGGAGCCAGTAAAGGCTCGGTTGAATTGCATGTGTGAATATCATCTCATATCATAGCATGACATATAGGATTCCATTGTTGAATTATATATTCTTGAATGGAGTGATTGTTGTTGTGTTTGCATGTGAACATTTCATATGCATCTAGATTAGGGAGTAGTTTCTTTAGGAGATACTCTATTGAATGTAACTTACCCTTTATGGGGACAACATTTCAAGTGCGGTATATATGCTGGTGGACAGCTCACAATCAGGCCCTCATGGTTGAAGAAAAGCCGAGATATGGCTTTTGAATTCATGTTTTGTAAAACTAAAATGTTATTTAGTTTTTGGACATGTAATGTAAGCAAAAGAATGTAATCGAACTCATAAAGACTATGCTTTTATGTAAAATTGCCTATTATATGAGTTTGGGTTGATGTTGTAAAGGGTTGGTATGGATTAGGATCGAAAAAGGATGGAATCGGACAAAAATTGGTAAGACCTATCGGTAGAACGTCGAGTACTTCTACTGGTAGAACTTTTTCAATAGGCAAAATCTACCAGTAGAACTTCAAGTTTTGCAGTAGAACTTTTTTAGTGGGTTTTTCTGTCGGTAGAACTATGAAAAACCTACCGGTAGAACTTTTCCATAAGGTTTTCCTATTGGTAGAACATGGTCATCTTCTACTAGTAGGTTTTTCTAAAACTTCAAATTTTAAGAATGTTTTACTATGCTTTCGGGCTTTGAGTCCTTTAATTCAAATGGTGTAAATGGACAAAAATTGAGGATAAATTGTTGTATATTGGACCTCGAATGAGTCATGTGATTGCATGACATACAAGTTTTATGTTTAGGAGTACCTAATACAAGGGAGACTCTGTCCAAACTCTGTGTGGTTAGTGATCCTAGTAAAGGAAATGTTGTGATGTGATGTCGGGTTATGTGGCATTCATAGGTATTTTCGCGGGTTGATGGGTGGTCAACAAGTTGACAAAGGACCCCCGATTTCAGGGCCATCACAGCTTGGTATCAGAGTCTAGGTTCTCGATTTACCTAGGGCTTGTGGGGCGTGTGTTTAGACCATTGCATCCATTGTGCATTACATGTTATGTGTTATATGTTATGTGAACAATATGCATGATTGAATTTATATGGAAAAGAGACACTAGGGTTAGAAAACATAACTTTGGGGGTCAGAAAAAGAATGAACGGGATGGTTCAGGATGTAGATGTCTACTAGTGGGTGACACATACTCTACTAGTGACACAAGGAGAGAAATTTCTAAGTTTGAACTTGATCCCTATCTTGGGATACTAAGTTAGTGCTCTATTGCTATTTGACATGTGTGTAAATGGCAAATAGAGGAAGAGGACATGGCCGAAGCGGTGGGCAGAACAACAACCAACCACCATCGACCTTTGACCAACAAGCCTTTATGGAGTTCATTGGCATGATGACAGCTACCTTTGTTGGCCAAAGGGGCTCAATTAATCTCTAAAAGTTCAAGGCACATAAGCATTCGACTTTTATAGGAGGGGCGAATCCGATGGTGGTCGACCATTGGTTCCAGTAAGTCGACAAGATCCTAGAGGCTATGGAGATCACCTCTGATGCCACTAAGATAATAGTAGCTGCATTCTAGTTAGAAGGAGAAGCCCATCTGTTGTGGGATTGGGCAAGGACATCGAAGAACTTAGAACCGATGACCTGGAGAGAGTTTCGGGAACTCTTCATGGGCAAGTACTTCCCATCGGCTATTCAACATGCGAAAACCCAGGAATTCTTGGGTTTGAAGCAGGGGACTATGATGATGATGGAATATGTGGCTAAGTTCACCGAGTTAGCACGTTTTACTGATGATTACGTGGCCACAGCTATGGCCAAAGCGAGGAGGTTTGAGGATGGTTTGAAGTTATCCATCTGGGGGAATATTGTGAGCCGCCGCCTATAGGATTTGGATTCAGTGATTGAGATGGCCATGGCCATTGAGAGAGAGGTTGATGACGTAAGGAGCATCCAGGAGGCAGGAGTTAAGGACAAAAAGAAGGAGGGTCGACCTTCTTCTTCTAGTTCGGGAAAGA